GCCTCATCAAATGCCCCCAAAAGGAAGACTGTTAATATGCGTGCCATGACGTACCCCGGATGTCCCGAACTACCCCCAGGCTCGGGCTTAGACTCGCATGTGAGTTTACAGGATGATGGGCCCCTGATAGCGTTTGTAGTCAAAAACTCGCCATCTGATTTCCAGTGTGATTATGAATATTTATGGTTTCAAGGATGTTTCGTGCATTGATCCAAGATGGGAGTGCGAGGAATCGGAGGATATCTTATGGGAAGCTGACAGACTTTTGGACGCTTACCTGTGTGTGTCCAGCATCCTACAACAGCGATTCCGCCTTGATCTCGATAGCAAAGATTCGGTCAGATTACCATACGAAAACTACTATGGCTTTTCTTTGTAATTATTAGTCAGGTCTCGAGGACAGCTCTGTTTTGCAGCTTCTGCGCGCTTCTCTCAAATGGCACCTTCCTGAGATTCGTCTAAGTGCATTTCGGTTGTGGACGGGAAGTTTAGGAAAAGAGTTGAAGAATTCGGAAAACAATCAGTGTTTAGGTGAATATCAAAAACTTCACGCCAGCTGTGCTTTCTTTTCCCACAGCACTACCTTCTTCTCGGATGGTCATTAATGTCCCATTATTTCAGAGGAGTTTATCCTGAATAATGGGTCAAGCTCTAGTACGAACTTGCGCCAAGCTGTAGAGGCAGCCGTTAGTTCCTGCACAATGACTCCAGAAAACAAAATTAAATGGCAAGAGGTGATCAGTTCTGTTCGTGAGAGAGAAAAATTGGATGAAGAACAGGTAATTGTGCCTTTCGATTGAACGGTAGTTGAAAGGCAGTGGGCATGATCGCTAGAGGTTGTTGCTAGTGTCTTTGGTGGAAGGGCGCTTGGTCTCACCCCACTCAGCCTTGCCACCAATGACGTTGGGGGGGGGGCAAGCGCCCTCACAGCAATCGCGCCCACTGCCTTCAATATTTAGCGGCGTGACTAATTTTATTTCTGTTCAGCGCGGAACAAGTTATTTGCCGGATGAATTGAGCGGAATTGAAGTGCTGCCCCTTCCCTCACCTGACAAAGCCCTTGAACGGCTCGAGGAGGCTCTACGGTTATCTGGTTCCAGTGGTCCAAAATCGTGTCCGGCATTTCCTGATCTCTACGATAACCTATCAAAAGCTGGGTATGAGCAGAGAGTCTTTGCAAGATTCGTCATTGTAAGTGCTCAGAATGGTAGAATATTAGTTTTATTTGCCGGATTCCTTAGATCTATTCGGATTTACGTAATTTACCAGTAACTTCAGGAGCTTATCAATCTGATAAAGACAAACGTTGATGCGAAGACTGCGCTGGATGTGATTTCGGAAGCAGTAATAAGATGCAGATTGAAGGTATCTATTTAGTTTTCCCTATATCACCTTCTGTTCTCCCTCGAAGGGACATCCCTCGCTCATTTTGTGGGAGTTACCAGGTCCATGAAGTGCGGTTCCGTAGCGCTATGGTGTGCCGCTTCCGCCACTCTAAAGTACGTGGCAAAGGCACCGACTTTGTTGCAGCGACCAGGGACCCCCCCCCCCCACATTTTCAGAATCGGAGCCCAACCTATAAGCGCAGGAGTGCGGGATAGCTTTGCGTTTGATTTTCTCCCCCTTGTGTATGGGACTGCGCGACTGCTACCCGGACTGCCTCGTAGCAAATCCTCTGCTCACTTCTGCACTGCTAGTGATCTTATTTGAAGCCTTCTCAACGGCTTCTTTCTCTTTCTTCACTGGTGTTTTAGTCAGCACCTGCGGATTGATAATGGGAATCCACCTGCGTTTGCAGCATGTGTCTTAGAGCGCGTTCATATTAGGTTGTCCGGAAAGTTCTCAGCGTTTTGGGTGTTTCTTTTAAACGATCGTAAACTATTTTTAATATCAGTCCGATTCAATCGAAGCATCCGCCACCCATTCGCAATCACCACACTTTTCACCCAATGTCGCACACAGTCGAGCAAAATCCCCATCCAACAGTCCCAGAACTGGGTGGTCGAAAATTCATCAACATCCCTCAATCCGCCGCAGGCTTTTTGGCCTGGTGCCTTGATGATCCGAACGTATTTTCCCAGCAAGGAGTTCTGTAAATGCTAACGAAAACGGTGATAGTTGGTTGCGAAAGGCTCTGCAAGATATGGCCGGTTGACGGAACTCAAACCCGCCCTTCGGTTCAATTTATGGATAGTGATTTGTGAAACATGTGGGCGGGCGTTGTCATGCAAAGGAATCGGACCCTTTCTTTTGATAAGTGTTGGCTGCATCTGACAAAATTTCGGTCCCAATTCACGTCCGATTTCTTCACATCCGAGTTTCTGCTGTGGATGTTTTTGGCCTGGTGACTAAAGAGTTATCTAGTGGATCACACACCAGCCAATGACTTCACACAAGCGTGACCAGATTCTTCTTTTCCGTGTGAGGGTTCGACTTTGAAATTACGCTTTGCTGCGTTCGGTCGAAATTAACCACTGTCCGGAAGCTTCTCGCTGTTTATCAATACAGCACCCCAATATTTCAATCACAGTGATCAATTTCGCGCCAATAAACAGGTGTGTTCTTCTGCCTGCGCAAAAAGCAATGCAGAAGGAACCTCGAGACGTGCCGATTCCTGCCGGTCACTCCGATTGTGGGCACCCAATTGTCGAGTTTTTTCACCTTCCCAATGCGTTCCAGACCATCTGCAACAGTGGATTTGCCAACGCCTAGCTTTTCTGCAATCTCTCGAACTGTTTGGGATGGGTCAGCCTCCAAAATCCCCCTAAAATCCTCGTCAGATATTGCTTTAGGTCGACCGCTATGAGGTTCATCTTCAAGGCTGAAATCTCCAGAACGAAGCTGTGTCCAGCCCATTGCCGCACAGTGCTTTTCTTACACTATTGGGCCCCCACACCTGGTTAATTTGTTGAGCTGTTTCGATTGCGGATTGCCCCAATTTATAGTCGAAGAAAAAAATCGTCCGAGTGCTCTTTTCACATGCTTGAAAAAATCTTGAAAAAAGGGGGTTTATCAAGCAATGGTGAAACGGCAATTATACCATCAGATAGCGCAAGAAATTCTCTACAGGATGTGCTACTGAGAAGCAAGGCAGAATGAGTTTTAATCAGCAGTGAATGTACAAAAAATAGGTGCACAAAACGCTGAGAACTTTCCGGACAACCTAATACTTCGCGACCCAATCGCTTGTGTAGCGGTTGGATCGCTTCAACCGATTGGCTCGCGTGACCACGACGGTAGAGGGGGTTCCACTGGCAATCGGTAGACCGCCGCAACGGCATAATTCAATTGTGCTGCGCTAATGCACTCTATGAACAGTTTGAACTCTGTCGTTGCGGCGGTCCACCGATTGGCGGTATATCGCCCCCTATCGTAGTCGCGCGATCCAAGCGTTCGGATAGCGAAGTATGAACACAATTGCAATTCGAGTTGGAACTCTGCTTCATTCTGTATTCATCATCACCCAAATACTATTCAGAGTGCATTCATTTTTCGAGATTTGAACAACAAACAAAACAACGAAAAAATCGCACTAGCGACCAAATTACAGAGTATGAAGAAATCTCACCCATTGGCAGTTTGCTGTAGAGCTGTGGTGTTTTTCAGGTCATTGTTGATCATGGCTGCTCGGTTGTGGATGAAATTCTTTCCAATCAACATTCCAATGAACACTTTTTCTTCCTTATTGAATATCGTTATTGTTGGGTGAGCCTTTTAGGAAAAAATATTCTTTTTTTGCTTCAATATCCAGCTATTAAGGCTATGAATCACTTAGTCGACGAGGAAACTGAATGTCGCACTCTTCCCCTATCAAGAATTTTATGGTCTGTATGTGATAAATCCAAAGATCTTTTACAGATATGTTTCGAGGTACGGAATTCTTTTTCTCTGTACTGTTAGTGCTTATGGAGGTGTTTACCAGTGAAAAATACGCTGGCTGTTGTGAACCAGGGTCGCCAAGGGAGGGTGTTTTATGTTCCTCTGCCATTTCTTATTGAGATAGTGATCCCGGCCATCCTACGTGCTCAGCTCTTAGCGGAGCGCAGACAATCAGGTAGCCTCGCCGAGACAAGATTAGAAGTTGAAAACAGTTGGGATGCAGTACCCACAAAAAGTGTGTATGAAGTGAAATGTGTCGACTCCGTGAATTCTATTGGACATACCGTAAGTCGGCGCTCCGAGGTGAGACTGGGAGGAGAGAGCAACGCGAATTCTTCATTCCACCTGTGGCCGGGTGCTGCCTAGACGGAAATTGAGCGGTTGTAGGTGCAACCGACGCCCTGAAGACTCAGATTTACGCGCAGGTTGGGATACTGTATCTCGCTTGTCCTCCAAAATCAAAGAAGTCTTACTGGGTGGCCCCTGAACTCCATTATTACCGTACTCGTGCTTGAACGGAAAGATCTCTGTAATATTCTCCTCAACGTTTGCAGTCATGCCGGGCAAAGCTAGGCGAGACGTCGTTGTCTACAAAAGTCCACCAACGGGTACTAAAAACGTTGAAGTTGTTCGCATCGAAAGCGGATTGCAGTGAGTTCAACCCTCTTTCCGAATGATTATCCCACGATTTCTCGCTCGCAACAGTTTACCCTTTTAAGAAATGCCACAGGACTTTGTGGAGTTCTTGTTTTGGCATTGTGTAGACGTTCAACAGCACAACGATTTCCTTGTCAGAAGTGCCGCAACCATTGTATTTGGTGAGTTGAGAAGATTTTGTAATAGAAATGTGGGCGCCGTTCGGCTCGGAGGGGCCATTTTGTGGCAACTGACAGGTCTTTGGTCAGATCTGTAAACTCTGGTGCAGCTGCAAAACAGCACAAGTGGCACTTTATGTTACAAGAATTTACAGGTCTTCCCAAGGGGTCTGTGGTAGATCCGTTGAGCACAATTTGATGCCCACACCAAGCCGAACTGGAGTGGAATGTAGTGGGAGTTTTAGAGTTTTCCACGTCGCCTTTCGAACTACGCATTCAGGTTTCGTGGTTCGATACATCACGAGAAGCCGTGTAGTGCCAGCATTCTACATCGTCTCGACTAGAGCTAAGTTTTGGCACGAGGTAAGTAGGTCAGGTCTTTTCACTGACTTGCTTTCCAATGTGCTTTAATATGCTGATTCAGATGGTGAAGAAGTGCTCACTGTTATCGACCTTACCGTCACGTCAGCGCATTTTGCTTCTCAGTTTCATGTCACGCCTCACTTTGGGTCATATTCAGTGTTATTCAGCTTCTGCACAACAGTAAGAGCCTTTTCTCAGTTGGATTTGGTCAAAGTTGAAAAATAATGGTGCGGCTATGACAGGGAATCCATGACCATATCCTTTTTTGCGTGGTTTTTCTTCCAACCATGAGATGTGGAGAAAAAGAGCACGCCCGATAAGAACGGCACCAATTGATTGCCCATCTCCGCCCATATAATCAATGTGGACTGTACCTGTATTTGACAAACTCGGAAGCAGCTGTACCGCGGTTGTGGATATTCTGCTCAATGTCGCCTACTAGTCAACGTGCAGCTGCGTTTCGAGTTTATCAATGACAGGTACAGTCCATGCTGATCATATGTGCGGCGACAGTGGAGGTCTCTTCATTGGCGCGCTCTTCTGCTTCGCGAGTTACGTGACAGCTGTAACTTATGGTGGGAGTCCTAGCGCGAAAGACAAGGTGCAGTAGACATGTCGCGTGCCATACAATGAGCCTTTTCAGCGGGAGGGAAACTCGCGGTGGATGAGCTACTTATCATACGTAAAAATGGCTCTTTTGGCCGTTTATTGGTTGGAAGGGGGGGGGCAGCTGTTGAGAAGGTGCAGGTTCACTGTCTCCGCCCACACGATTATCTTGGATTATGCTTTGAAGTAATGCACCGGACGGGCGATCGGCACCGAGTATCTCTACCAAACATCTACAACCTTTACTTAGCATGGAAAGGTTGTAAAAAAAACACCAACGAGGCCTCTTGAAAACGTCGACATGCAAAAGTATGTGCCTTTTTGCAACTGCACCCGTTGGCGCTACCACAGGTTGTGCGACCAATAGCCTACTCCGTAAAAAAATTCGACACACCCTTTGCTGATTATTAAAATTTACTCTAGCTTTTTGCCAGGATTTTCTCGTCTGTGACGGATTTGGCTTAAACTTGTTTCAGGGGTAGTTTAAACCTTCAAAACCCCCCCCCGGTCCTGCCCCTTCGTCCTTAGCCCCCCCCCCCGCTGGTGCCTCCCGAATGCCACAACAGGAGTATCAACGACAGAACCGCCCCCCCATTGCTGCCCACACCACACCCCCCACCCCCCCCTCCCGGCCCCCCCCACACTCGAACCGTGGTGCAAAACCCGCAATCGCCCGATATTCGCTCGCAACACCTCACTCTCCAACGCGCCTCGTTATATACTCACACTACGCAAACCACACATATCACACCCCCCCTGTTTTGCCCGAAACTAAGGTACGCACAAAGCGCACTTGCATCCTCGCGACAGCAAATGCCTATCATCAAGGTTGTCTACTCGTACGAATTCTTAGGATGACTGGCGACCGGGGCCTTATCAGAAGTGCTTCAAAATGCTTTTTGAATAGGAAACTTTTCAAATTAATTGCGCCGTAGAAAAAAGATTGTGGAGTCCTAAGATTCACCTGGCCCCTCTCTCTCACCAACTATATAAACATAAAAGATCAACCCATAAAAATCTCAAGCTTTTTGCGATCCTCTCCGATGGAGAAATTATTCCTCGGATCGCTGAAAGTGCAAGATCTATTAGCTGATGTTTTCGAATATGTTTATGATTCTGACTGTTCTTCAGATGAGATTCCATTAGTTGTTAGATTATTATCCTACGATGGAAGACTCGGTATGGTTTGATCGTTTTTTGACGTCTGATGCCGGATTGTCCCTATCACATCTCCCCGCCCTGAAGTCCATTCCACATATTAACTTGTTTCAGCACAAAATCTCACTTTCCCTTGAGTACCTTTCATTTGATTTTCTTTGAGCGGAAATTCCCCTAGAATGATGGAAGCATTCCTTTTGTCACATTCCCTTGAAAAAAACCCTGTCCATTGATTCTGCCGAAATCATAGGCCAATCAGCATTACTTCTCTGTTCTGTAGAGTTTTTGAAAAAATAATGAAGAAGAGGATTGAATGTCATCTGAATGCACACCATGTATTGCCGGTCTCCCAACATGGCTTAGAAAGGGTAAATCTACAGAGACTCAGATGCTTGTAACATTCAATGAGTGGACGCGTGCCGTTAATATTCTGGCAAAGGTCGCGTTGATGTTGTTTATTTGGATTTTCATAAGGCTTTTGACAAGGTGTCCCATTCTTTACTCCTTCACAAGCTGGATCACATCGGCATTCATCCTAGGATTATCACTTGGATTGAGGCATTCCTTCACTCTCGGACTTTCCAAGTTATAGTGAATGGTATTTCGTCTACTGTTAGAAAAGCCACTAGCGGTGTGCCCCAGGGAGGGGTCTTATCTCCATTATTGTTCAGTATATACGTTTATGACCTTCCTTCGGTCGTGCAGGAACTTGGCATTAGTTGCATGATGTTTGCAGATGACATTAAAATCTATGGCATTCTGGAGAATGAGCTGAATTTCTCTTCGATTCAGTCAGCGATTGATACTGTTCTTAATTGGTCTTCTACTTGGAAACTACCACTATCACCTCATAAGTCTAAAGTTCTGCATCTTGGTAGGAATAATCCTCATCATGTCTACTCGATTTCCGGATATCTGCTTGAAGAAATGTTCATTGTGCAGTGAAGAGTCTTGGCTTCAAGTCGATATAGAATCTGTCTTTTCATGACATTGGTAAGAATGATAGCCAACTCAGCAGAACACAGACTTTTCTTTTATTCAAATCGCTTTGCACTAAAGATCCTATCATTCTCATCCGAGCGTACAAGACTTATGTGCGACCTATGCTAGAATATGGCACTTGTGTTTTTTCCCCGCGTAGAAAAAGCCTGGTGGATAGAATTGAGCGTGTTCAAAGTAGTTTTACGAGAAAGCTATTCGTTCGTTCTTTGGGTTTCTCTTATAGTAGTGTCCCTCGTGGACTTATACGTAATAATATGCTCAGTCTGGAGTCCCTAAAGCTCAGAAGACGCAAATTTGATCTCTTCATGGTTTATAAAATACTATAATGTAATGTGATTGTTTTATTGTTCGGCGGATTTCTTTCAACTATCTTCTTCCACCACTAGGGGTCATAGGCTGAAAGTTATCCTTCCTAGACCTAAGTCTTCGTTAAGGAGCAGTTTCTTTACTCACAGGGCTGGATCTGAATATATAAAGTTCAGCAAGAAAGTGCAGGTGCCTGTATCTTTCTCGCTCTTTAAGAGAGCTGTGGGTCAATATCTAAGATATGATTCTTTTAGATAGGGTTTACGAGTTGTGCGGCATCTCTCTCACTTTTTGATGCTTATATGTTTTCATCGACACTTCTACCATTATTTTTATGTACTTCAACTTTCAGTGTTCCTTAACTGTTCTTGTTGTTGGAGTTACTAGACTTGTTCACTATTGTGTTGTGTTGTTTCTTTTTACCACATGTGCTTGCACATGTAATAAAAGTAAAGTAAAAAGTAAAAAGTAAAAGAAAA